CCTATTGCCTGATTCTGGAATCACAAATAAAGCCAAATGCCACCTGTACATTTGTTGTAATTCTGTCCTTTAACATCCGCAGCTGGTGTCCCTGACTGGGTGGGCACTCTGGAGCAGGATGGCACCGTGTGACCTTCGATCAGTGCTTGCAGTGAATGGCCACCCTGCATGTGCTGGGCCTTGCTGGGCTGGCCAGAGTGCTGCAGCCCTCGAGGGCAGGTGTGGACAGTGACCAAGCTGAGCAACGTGGTGACCACTCCTGTCACCCGGAAGCAGAAGCCTGCTGGGGAGCTGGCCCCACACTGACAGCCGATCAAAGCATGGAGATCCCTGCTGGCCTCACGCTGGCAACTACATTTTGATTTTAGTTCACTGTATCTAGTGGCACTGACCCAACACCACCTATGTCCCCCGCACCTCCAAGGTTCAAGATGGCAGTGACAGCCACAGCATTGGGGAGCAGCCTGGCATTCAGCCGGGACAGGCCTGCCCCTGGAAACACTAGCTCTTCCTAAGACTACCAACGCTCACGGGGCACATCTTTTGTGCCGGAGATGTTCTGAGTACTTCATAGACATGAACCCTCCTGCTCCTTTGAGGGAAGACCATGTGCTCACTTCTGGTCAAGGACCTGAGACAGAAAAGCCAGTGACCACCGCCAGCAAGAGCATTTATGTATTCACCAATGCCAGTTTCCAGAGTTCTCTTTCCCTTGCCAAGGAATCTGCAGTGTTCGGGAGGTTATTCCCGTTAAAGCACATAAATGGCCATGGGTGCTGGCACACACTGTAATCCCAGCACTCTAGAAGGCTGAGGCAGGGGGACTGTAAGTTCCAGGCCAGCCTGAGCAATTTAGCAACTTAGTGAGACCTGTCTCAAAATGAAAAATAAAAAGGGCTGGAAATGTAGTTCAATGTGAAGGCCCTGGGTTCACTCGCCAGTTCAAAAAAGGGATGTAGGGTCCAGGGATTGAGGTCAGTGGTTTTGCCGCCTGGTGCACAGGCACAAGGACCCCAGTTCGATCCCCAGTACCAAAAAAAAAAAAAAGGGGATGTAGCTCACTGCAGAGTATGAGCCTAACATGGGAGGCCGGAGTTCAATCCCCAGCACCATACACATTTGAAGTTACAGCAACACAAATTTCATCTGATTATTATCTCCGTTTTACCCCCAGACCAAAAAATATGCACAGAAAAGAGGTGGAGAAGTAAAAGATCAGGTAACTTGCCTAAAGGCCAGGTAAGTGCTCTTACGCCATGGAAGCAGGACTCTGAACCCTGGATGGCCGTGGCCCTCCATCATGTCCTGACTTCAATGATGCATGTCTCCGAAGGATTCCCCAGACCCACTGACACCACCCATTCCAGACCCTCTTTCTCCTAGGTACCTATGTCAGAGAAGCAATTTTTTGAGACAGAGTCTAGCTATGTAGTTCAGGCTGGCTCTTACTCACTATGTAGCTCAGGTTGGCCTCTAACTCGCAGTGATTCTCCTGCCTCAGCCTCCCCAGTGGTGGGATTATAGGTGTAAGCCACCACGCCTGCCCTGACAAGCAATTTTCTTCCTGTACTTTTTTATGTTCAGTACTGGCAGCCAGTGGATTAAACAGATAAAACAGATTAGCAAGAGAAAAGGCAAAATTTTATTCATGCAATCAGCAGTTAGGAATTAGGGGCTCATATCTCAAGTTAATAGAGGAAGAGAGCTGGGCATGGAGGTGCATGTCTGTAGTCTCAACACTCTGGAGGCTGAGGCAGGAGGATCCCTGCAAGTTCAAGGCCAACCAGGGCTACGTGTGGCAAGACCCAGTCTCAAAAACACAAAAACAAAACCAGAGGAAAGGGAAGAGGAAAAGGATACTTACAAGAAAACTAACTTCTAGGAAAGATGATGTGATTTGTGACAATGTTGAGTGAGGATGTCTGCCTGGGTGTGGTGCAGGCTTCTCTGTGATAAAGGCTTGAGTCAGTCTTTTTCTGGCTGTCACCAGGAAATGCATTTAAGACAGTCGAGTTCTTTCACAAGACTCTTATTTTAGGCCCATAAAAGACTTCAGGTGAAGTCTATTCTCAAATCCCTTGAACTCAAAGCACTGCTTATGACAGAATGTGGCCTTTGTCTACAACAGCCCCTCCCCGGTTCTCTCCAGTCTAATCCCGGCCATATTACCACCTCACAATGCAAACACAAGCTCACGTCCTCGGCCCTACACGCTTCCGCTTAGACCTCTGGCAAGCCCAGGAGGGGAAAAGCTCAAATCGCCAGGCACTCCTGGGGTCCAAGGCCAGGGCCCTGCGTTATGGTACAGCCTCCCCCTGCCTCCTCCCCCTGCAGCTCCAACCAGTGTATTTGCAAATGCAAATGAAGGCCTGCCTGCAGAGGCCTAGGCCACGCCTGGTCGTGCCGTCGCTCTCGGTCCCTCCGGCCCCACCCACACGTTCCCACCGGCGGACTTTGCCTTTCCAGCCCTGGGGACTGGACTCTGGCAGGGCAGTGACCAGGTCAAAGGTCAAAGTCGCCGCCTGTGTGTTTAGATTTCTACTGGTCCAAGGGTGTCGGGCATAGGTGGATCTGCTGAACATTGGTTCCGAATGAATAAGGGAATGAGGCATCAAAGAACAGGTCGGATGAGGGCCGACCTGACATGGGGCAGAGCTTCCGAGCTTGCACTGCGCAGGCTCACTCCCAGCATCTGCAGAAATGGGGGGCCCTGCCTAGAACTCCGTTTCGAAATGCAGTGCATTTCCAAAGATACTGAAATGTGGATGTCACAATACACAAACACGGGAGACACAGAAATATCCGATTCTTTATTAACTTATTAAATCGGCAGGACAGATAAGCACCAGAAATACGAAACTACTACTGTGAGTTTAGCAGCATTTCTGAAGTGTCTGCCTCGCTACTCTGCTACTCTCGCTGAAGTAGATGAGGATCCCTGTGATTTCTGCTATGACCCCGAGGGACTGGTAATTCTACCAGCCTTTGCAGCTTCCATTTGTAATTGAAGGACGGATCAAGTTTCAGTTAGGTATTAGTGAGAATATAGACGGTGGTTTTTTCTCCTTAGCTCAGCTCCCGGTCGGCTCCAGGACCCGGTCCCTAGACCACATGTTTAAGGTCACCTCCAAGGGCTGCCCCAGCAAATACGGAGGAACAAAGTGGGCAGAGGGCTGGCGCGTAATCCAACACAAAAGGGTACTTGAAGAACAAAGGAAGGCCTTCAGCTTGGGGTTTGGAGGGAGGTGGGGGGTTCTGGGCCGCTGGCTCCACCTTTCCTCTCCAGTGGGGTGGGAGCGGGTACCAGGAGCTGAGCCTGGACGGTGCAGGACCAGGAAGAGCTGGGAGAGCGAGGGAGTCTGTCTGGCGGCAGACAGGCCCAGAGTAATGCATTACTACTCGGGCACGGGGAGCAGGGGGAAACGGGAGAGCAGTCAGGCGCCGCAGCCCTGCCTCCCAGGGGCCGGGGCGCACTGGCTAGGGGCATGGGCACAGGGTTACGGGGCTCCCCACGCCTCGGTCCCCACAGGCCCCAGGAGCGGGCAGCCCGGCCCCTCTTTGGCTCTTCCTTCCCCTCTGCCCCAAGGCACCCTGCCGAGGAGGGGACTCAGAAAAGCTTCCCAGGGTGGTCCTGGTCAACCCCATCGCCTTTATTTTCACTGACCTAATAATATTTTTCCTCAAATCCATTCACATTTAAGCTCAACGCTCTTTTGAAGTGTGAGGCAGTGCTGGGGCTTGAACCTGGGCCTTATGAATGCAAGTGCTATAGCTGAGCTACGTCGCCAGCCAGTACATTTGCTCTCTTTTATTTTTAAAATGAAGCCTCCGTAACAACCAAAACGAAAAGCCGTTATCCTTTGCCCCAAATAGCAGCCGCCTGTGAAAACACAGGAACAACGCTTCCTCCATCGAGGCCTGGCCTTGGGCTCAGTGCAGTAACCAGAGAGCAGCTGTGAGGCGCTCGGGAGGAGCCCAGTCCCGGGCGCAGGCCGAGGTCAAAGCCCACCGCCCGCTGGCCTCGCCAGGCACACACGTCTTCCCGGCGAAGGTCCCGCGTCCGGACCCCGGGGCCCGGGCGCCTCTGCTTCCGGTGTGGACTGAGCCGGCAGGGGAGGCCCGGCCGCTCCGTCCCCATATGAGCCCGCCCGCCCCAAACGTCCACGCGCGAGCCGGGAGGGTAGGAGCAGGAACCTGGCTCGGGAACGCCGCACACCGGAGCCACGGGGGTGGTGGCAGGGAGCCGCGCCGGGCTGGGCCGTCCTCAGCTCAGCCCCCTCGGTTAGCGCAGGCACGAAGGACGAGCGAGCGAGCGAGCGAGCGCGGCCCAGCAGGCCCACGCCCGTCCGCCCCGAGCGCGGCCTTTGCCCCGGGTCCCGCACATCCTGACCTGCTCGGGCCTGGGGTGTCCGGGGTCCCCGAGGAAGCCAGGGAGCTCCGGGTCTCGGGTGCTGCGTGCGATGCTGCCGAAAGGGGTCTCGGGGCGCCTCCAGACCCCGCCGCCCTGCTCCCCGCGCCGCCCCCCGTCCTGGCGACCGCCCCAGCCTCGACTTACCGGAGCCCGCGCGCCCGCCCCGCCCCGCCCCTCGCAGCGGCGGCTGCCGTGCTGCGGCCCCTTTAAATCCGGGCCGCTCCGCCCCGCGCC